CACTGACAGTCTGTCCCCTCCCTCCCTCCCTCCCTCAACCCCCACACACTGACAGTCTTTCCCCTCCCTCCCTCCCTCAACCCCCACACACTGACAGTCTTTCCCCACTCACCAACCCTCAGTCCCAGCACTGACAGACTGTCCCCTCCCTCCTACCCCGCCCTCAGCCCACACGCCGTCAGACTGTCCCCTCTCTCGGCCCGCGCACTGACAGACTGTCCCTCTAACAGTACATTGGCTGGCAGTCTGTCCTTTGCTTGAAGTCATGGTCTGAAAGGCCATAGACTACCTGTCTACACCTCCTTCCAAAACCCCCAGACTGAGCCTAGTTATTGATAGTCCATGCCTCTGTTCAAAAGCCCACAGACTAAAAGCCAATATGAGACTGTCTGTTCCTCTCTTTAACTGCCCTGTAATGAGACTGTCAACACAGTGTCACCAGATGTGAAATAAACAAAATTATGCACCCTACCCCACTCTCCTCACAAGCTCTTGACAGGAATTTAGAGCATCATAACAGGAAACAAGTAACACTGATTATTATTATCCAGTCCAGTTCCCACTAGGAGGTACGGGTCCCAGAATGCCTCGTGTACGGCCTCACAAACTTTGGGAGAGAGAGAGATCGCTGATTTGAATGTCACATATTTAATAGCATTAGCTCTTCAGCACGTTTGCATTAATCATGTTGAATTTTCTGAAAGTCGGACTGGCTCAATAAGGTCAGTAATGGCAAATTGGATTTAATGAGGGTTGAAGGCAAGATTTTGGATGACCCAAAGTTTATGGAGGGTGGAGACAGCAAGGAAGAGTTGAGAACTGATTCTTTTCTCGTATCATTGACAAGCCTATTATTTATTGCCCACAAGACAGCTAGGCCAATTCAGGTGGGCACTTGCTAGTTAGGAGTCAACCACAATCTGGAGTCACATACAGCCCAGTCAAATTAGGATGTATGCTTCCTTCCACAAGGTTCAATGGTGAACCAGATTTTCTTCTTAATAGTCCAGAAGTTTCAAACTCACCATTATGGATATCAGCATTTTGTTTCATATTTTTTGAAACACTGAATTTAAATTCCTTAGCCCAGATTTGAAATCATGATTCTGGATGAGTAGTCCAAGTCTCTAGTTTACTAGTACAGTAATCTAACCAAAATAACCAACGTGCTACCATGGTGGCATTGGTATAATGGAGGGTTCATTCGCAGATGTGGGCGTCATTGACTAGGCCACCATTTATTACCCACCCCTAAATGCTCAAAAGGCAGCTAAGAGGTAATCACATTGCTGTGAGTCTGGAGTCATGTTTAGAACTGACCAGGTAAGGACAGACTGGTGGAAACAGTCTTAGTAATGGATTAAATATAGGGATTGAAGTCAACTCTGGATTGAACAAAACTCTCAGTTTCCATGCAGTCTGGCTGAGCATGAGGAAGCAACAAGAGAGACTGATTCTGTGTACAACCAGAATGTAGACGTTTTGTCAGGTAGCAAACTATAACTTCAAGAGAGTCAAGGGCAGAGGTGAATCAGCAAGGAGAAGATGCTGGGGAAGCAGAAAGGTGGCTTGGTGGTTAGCACTGCTGCTTTACAGTGCCAGAGACCTACGTTCAATTCCAACTTCAGGTGACTGTCTGAGTGGAGGTTGCACATTCTCCCCACATCTATGCAGGTTTCCTCCCACAGTCTAAAGATGTGCAGGTTAGGTGGATTGGCCGTCTTAAATTGCCCATAGTCTTCAGGGATGTGTAGGTTAGGTGTGTTAGCCATGGGAGTTACAGGGTAGGGGGATGGCCCTAGGCAGGATGCTCTTCGGAGGGTGGATATGGATCTGTTGGGCCGAATGGCCTATTTCCACATAGTAGGGATTCTATGGAAAAATCTGAAGGCAGATAAATCACCTGAATTGGATGGACTATACCCAGGGTTCTAAAGAAGATAGTTAAGAAGATTTTGGAGGAATTGGTATAATCTTACAGGAATCACTGGAGTCAGGGAGGAGTCCAAAGGACTGGACAATGGCTAACGTAACATCTTGTTTAAGAAGAGAGGGAGGCAGAAGACAGGAAATTATAGGCCAGTTAGCCTGATCTCAGTCATTGGTAAGATTTCAGGGTCCCTTATTAAGGATGAGATTGTGAAGTACCTGGAAGTGCATGTTAAATAAGGTTTCATCAAGGAGAGGTCACGCCTGATAAATTTACCTGAATTCTTCGAGGAGGTAACGAGCAAGTTAGGTAAGATCAAGACAGTGGACATGATCTATATGGATTTCCAGAAGGCCTTTTACAAGGGGCTGCATAGGAATCTGCTAAGTCATAAAAAGGCCCATGTGTTAGAGGCAAGGTACTGGCATGGATAGAGGATTGGCGGACTGGCAGAAGTCAGAGAATGAGGATAAAGAGGTCTTTTTTCAGAATGGCAGCTGGTGACAAGTGGAGTTCAGCAGGGGTCAGTGTTGGGACCACAACTATTCATGTAATACATTACCAATCTGGATGAAGAAACTAAGAGCATTGTTACTAAGTTTGCAGTTGGCACAAAGATAAGTGGAGGGGCAGGTAGTGTTGAGAAAGTGGGGAGGCTGCAGAAGGACTTGGGACAGGCTAGGAGAGTGAGCAAAAAAGTGACAGATGGAATGTAATGTGGGAAAGTGAGTTTATGCACTTGGATCGGAAGAATAGGGACAAAGACTATTTTCTAAATGGGGAAAGGCTTCAGGAATCTGAAACACAGAGGGACTTAAGAATCCAAGTATAGGATTCTCTTAAAGTTAACATGCAGGTTCATTTGACAATTAAGAAGGCACATGCAATGTTATCATTTGTTTTGAGAGGGATAGAATACAAGAGCAAGGAGGTACTACCGAGGCTGTATAAGGCTCTAGTCAGACCACATTTGGAATATTGTGAGCAGTTTTGGGCCCTATCGAAACAAGGATGTGATGGCCTTGGAGGGGGACCAGAGGGGGTTCACAAGAATGATCCTGGGAATGGTGGGCTTATCATATGAGGAATGGTTAAGTACTTTGAGTCTGTACTTGGTGAGTTTAGAAGGAAGAGGGGGAATCTGATTGAAACTTACAGAATATTGAGATGCCTGGATAGAGTTGATATAGAGAGGATGTTTCCATTAGTAGGCGAGACTAGGACCGGACGGCACAGCCTTAAAGTGAAGGCACAACCCTTTAGAACTGAGACGAGGAGGAATTTCTTCAGCCAGAAGGTGGTGAATCTGTACAACTCATTGCAGCAAAAAGTTGGAGAGGCCAAGGCATTGAGTGCCTCGAAGACAGTGATAGGTAGGTTCTTGATTAATGAGGAGATTAAGGATTATAGGGAGAAAGTAGGAAAATAAGGTTGAGAAACATATCAACTATGATTAGATGGTGGAACAGACTCGATATGGCCTAATTCTGCTCCTGTATCTTATGATCTCATGACCCAAAAATAACGGCTCAGATCTTCTAGATGGAGATATTTTGACTGCTTCATCAGCAAAGAGCAATTCATATAATTCAAGGTGGACTTGGGAGCCATAAGTATTTGGAATTTCATCTGGTAGCGGTGATTGCCAGTCATGGTTCAGCTTAGCACTCTTATGTTTGAGGTGAAGATTAAGGATTCACTTGAGATCAGGTGGATAGGATAGTGAAGAAGGTGTTCGGTATGCTTGTCTTGCTTTGATACGCTCAGTACATTGAGTAGAGAAGTTGGAAGGTCATGTGGCGGCTATACAGGACATTGGTTAGGCCACTTTCGGCATACTGCAAGCAATTCTGGTCTCCCCGCTTTTGGAAGGGTGTTGTGAAACTTGAAAGGGTTTAGAAAAGATTTACAAGGATGTTGCCAGGGTTGAAGGGTTTGAGCTACAGGGAAAGGTTGAATAGGCTGGGGCTATTTTCCCTAAAACGTCGGAGTGACCTTGTAGAGATTTATAGAATCACAAGGAGCACGGATAGGGGCACTCTAAAACTAGAGGGCATGGGTTTAAGTTGAGAGGGGAAAGATTTAAAAGAGACCTAAGGAGCAACATTTTCATGCAAAGGGTGGTGCATGTATGGAACAAGCTGCCAGAGGAAGTGGTGGAGGCTGGTATAATTACAACATTTAAAAGGCACCTGGATAGGTAAATGAATAGGAAAGATTTAGAGGGATATGGGTCAAATGCTGGCAAATAGAACTAGATTTATTTAGGATATCTGGTCAACGTGGATGAGTTGGACTAAAGGGTCTGTTTCCATGCTGTACATCTCTATGACTTAACTACACAACCTCGCTGACACTGCAATGCTGTGTGCTAGTGAGAGTGAAGCAGGTTTTCAGGCTATATCCAGGAAACGCAGAGGTGTTCTTCCCAGTGTCCTCTGGCCTATATTTATCCCCCAATTAACACCCTTAAAACAACAAATTAATTGGTTATTTGGTTCATCTGTTGTCCTCGCTCTGCATTAATTGGCTACTGTATTTGCCAACATTAGAAAATGTAATTAATTGGCTGTGAAATAATTTGTTACATTTTGAAGTTGTGAAAGGTGTTATATAGGTACTAATTCTTTTTTCTTTTGGCAGCCTTGGTTATTAAAGAAATTGTGGTGATTGTAATGAGGTCAGCCAGGTGCACCTCATAGAATATGAGTTCCTTGATTGGGGCTGTTAATCTGGTCCAGTCAGGGAGCCTTGGCACAGATAAGAACGGGAGTGTCAGACATCCTGTTCACCCTGAGAACTGTCTCTGAGGGAGCTGGACCAGTGTCAAGGACTCTCCGTGTGTAAGTAAAGCGTGACTTGTTGATAGGATACCAGCCTCTTGGAATTATTTCAGTGGTGACGAGAGAAAAGCATGCTTCTGAAGGAATTCGTATGCAACAGTCATCTTTGAGTCGGGGTAAGCATTTCTGGCATCGTGCTGTTATTTGGGAAGCTTGATCTATTCAATTCTGCT